TCCCCAACCCCGGGACCCTTGATATCCCACCACCCCCTTCCCTCAGTCCCCCTCCCCTTCTCCATGTCGGCTCGGAACAGATTCGCCTCCATGTGTCTCTGCGTGGTACGTGCCGCGGTACGGGCTCCGGCCCCGCTCCCCTCCTCCCAGACCCCCAAAATCTCAGGGTGCAAGCTTCAAGTGCTGTCGCTCTTCCTTCTGCTTGGCGCGGGGTCTCTGGGTTGCAACTTCTCGTGGACCGGCGCAGTAGGTCTCCCCTCTTAACCACTTTGACTCACACCCCTCTGTTTTGGGGGTGCAAGCCTCGGTTCCAGGTCATTCTGTACAGCTGGGGCTCCGGTGAGGAGTGGGCCAAGGGGGAAGGAACAACAGCGACACTGTCTGTGTCCCCCCAGGCCTTTTACTTGTCTTAATCCCTAATATATTGGGGGTGCAGACTTGTCCCAATAGCATCCAAGCTGTCATGGGGTCAGGGCCCTGAGTCCCAGTGGGGTAAAGGGGGGGTCCTCCTTTCCTGTCCTGCCTTAGATGCCTTGTAATCTGTGACTTACAGGTTTTGACTCTCGCAACCCCCCCCCCCCCCCGAGTTAGCAGTTTAAGAGTTACTCTCCCCCACTTCAACTGCTCCACCTTTTTTTTTCCTTTTTTTCCCCTTCATTACATAGAAGTCCAAAATTTCCAGGGACTGAACATAGGCCCTAACCTCTTCCAGGCACATTCTGGAAACTTTGGTACCCATTCCTTGTTCCCCACTTTGCCCATGTTGTCTCCCAATCCCGAGGACCCTTTTCCTTGGTTCCAGGTACCACTCCCCTCCATGGGGATGAGGCAGGGAGAGGTGTTTGGGGTCTCACTGTGATAAAAGTTAATGTTCATTTCCTCTCTAGAATAAATGAAGAAATGTCCCTCTTCACGATTTCATATTCTTTGGATGTACCCTGACATTTCCTCATCAGATTCAGGAATTTTCTCTGTGAGGTGGGGTGAAGATGTAGGGGCATTGTGCTCAAACTCTCCCCCAGACTCCAAAACTTGGATCTGTGAGCTTTGGTTCTGTCTAATGTTCCTTGCAGGGAATTGGGGGCCTTGTGAAGTGAGAGAGGAAAGCTGCTTCCTCTCCTTCCCCCTGGACCCCCTAATTCTGGGTCATCATCTCTCAGCTTGTGCACTGCCCAGGCGAAAAGAACACTTCGTCAGGATGTGGAGTGAATAACCTATTTCAGTTCATAGAGCTCTTTATCCAAGACGGTTCAGCCTTTGAGGAGGGCTATTTTGCCTATACTCCCCCTATTATCTTCTCTACTTTTTGTACCCATGTTATTAAAACCTGGAGTTTAAGATTCTCTCTCCAAGCCTGTGGCACATAGGATAGACTCAATCTTGATGAGCCGCTATTTTCCTTCCCAATTCTAGTTGTCTCTGTGTCCTGGCTGTTAGAGTCTTCGCGTTGACAGCACCGATTCCAGCCTCGCAGTCTTGTACTGCACCCTTAGTCTACAGCCAAAGTTGGGTTACATCCTCAGTCTTGATTTATCATCCTTAAAATTTTCAGAACATAACTCTAGTATCAGGTATTGAACTTCATAAGCTTCCTCCCTCTTTTTTTTTTTGAAACAGGTTCTTGCTCTGTCACCCAGGCTGGAGTGCAGTTCAAGCGATTCTTCTGCCTCAGCCTCTGGAGTAGCTGGGGCTATAGGTTCTCGCCACCACAACCAGCTAATTTTTCTTTTTGTAGAGACGGGGTCTCGCTCTTGCTCAGGCTGGTCTTGAACTCCTGACCTCAAGCGATCTTCCTGCCTTGGCCTCCCAAAATGCTAGGATTTCAGGCATGAGCCACCACACCTGGTTGAGCTTCCTCCCTTCTTTAAAAATTAAAAAAAAATTTAGTTTATTTTAATTAATTAATTAATTTTTTAGAGACAGGATCTCCCTCTGTCGTCCAGAGTGAAGTGCAGTGATGTGATCATGGCTCACTGTAACTTCAAACTCTTGGGCTGAAGCTGTCCTCCTACCTCAGCCTCCTGAGTAGCTGGGACTACAGGCGTGTGCCACCATGCCTGGCTAATTTTTTTTTTTTCTCGCAGAGATAGGGTCTTGGTGTGTTACCCAGGCTGGTCTTGAACTCTTGGTGCTCAAGCGGCCTCCCAAAGTGCTGGAAGGGGATGGGATGGGAGAAGCATGAGCCATTATGCCTGGCCCACCCCTTTTTTTTAAATTAAAAAAAAAAAAACACCCTTTCTTTTTAAAGACAGCGTCTCACTATGTTGCCTAGGCTGATCTCGAATTCCTGGTGTCAAGCGATCCTCTTGCCTCAGCCTCCTGAGTAGCCTGGATTACAGGTGCATGCAGCCATGCCTAGCTTTAGCTTCCTCCCTTTTGATCTTGCAACTATTGCCTTCCAAATGTTGGGGTACTCAGCCTTCCGGAAACTTTTGCAAGGGAAATTCTGCCTTCTCTTTTTACCCATGTGTCCTGGGGGGGTGCATTCTGTCTTCTCCAGTCCCTGAGAGTAGCCCTTCATAGGGTACCCTCTTCCTCCTTCCTGAGCCTGGAGCTTGGAAGGGTCTGCCTCTGTGAAGGGCAGCTCCTGAGGATTGGAGCACGTGAGGGCAGAGGCAGGTGCAGACAGACCCAGGCAGAGTTGCTGCCCTTCGCTGCTGTCTCCATCTGCCCTTTTCCTCTCTCTCTGGCCCCTAGTTAATCTCATTTACTGGTGTTCCTGTTAAGCTAGTCCAAGAGGCCCTTGAGATGGCAGCTGGTTAATTGGGCAGGGAGTCAGGTCATGTTGGGCTTTTTACCCCAAAAAGCCAGAAGGAAACTAGAATTCACTCGTAGGCTCAGCATGCTACCCTCTTTCCCCACCAGGGAACCCGGCACCCATTCCTGCCCCAGTCCTGAGCCCTACTGCCTCAGTTCTTCCCCTTCCTCCCCCATCCCATCCCCTTCTAGTATATCCGGATTAGCTGGCTGGGCTGTGGGCTCTTGTAGGGGTGGGGCTAGACTCTGGAGGGCGGGGCAGGGAGGGCCTTTGCTGACTGCTTGGGAACCATGGAGGCCAGTGAAGGAAGAGCTGGTTAAGCTTAGCCTTGTCCTGCCTGGGGGGCGATGCCAAGTACCTTCCAGTTAAAGGGCCTGACTTTGGTCCCTGCCTGGGGCATGCAAGGTGCTGGAGAGCCAGCCGCTTATGGAGTAGAGGCTGCAATGGGGAGACTGAAACAATGAAGTGGGGTGGGAAGGAATGCAGAGCAGGAGCAGCAGGGGAGCATGGGAGAGGGAGGCTGGAACACTGGAGTAGCACTAAGATGATGAGGGAAGTAAAGAGGGGGAGGGGATGTAGAGAATGGGGATATGAGTGTCGGGCTAGAGCTCTGAAAGGATGGAGGGACTTGAATATGAAGGCCTGGGAAGGGGGTGAAGCCACGGATGCCAAAGGAGGCGCTATGCCAGGTGGAAGCCCAGGCTCCCAGGATGTGAGGAGTAGGAGTTGGGGGTTGGGCTTGGGACTTGGGAAGGGATGAGAGGTGCTAGAGGGGGCTGTTGGGAAAGTGGAGACAGGGGAGCCAATGGGCTAGAGGAGAGGGAGGGGGAGGAGCTGGTCAGGCCCCAGGGCCTTCCGCACTGCACTGGCTGTGGGAAGAGGAGGTGGCCGGGGCGGCCAGCCTGGAGCCTGAGGCACTGGGCGGGCCCCAGTGACGCCTCTGTCCCCATCCCCAGAAATACCGCTACCAAGATGAAGACACGCCCCCTCTGGAGCACAGCCCGGCCCACCTCCCCAACCAGGTAAACGCCCCCGAGCTGGTGCACGTG